ACTACTCTATTTATACGGTATCTCTAAACTTAACCGACAAGCAAGAAGAGTTTTCTGGAGACAATTTTCAACAAATAAAGCTCTAAAGGATCTATTGAGCCAAGCCCCAAAATTAACCTTGTAACGACAAAACGCGTTCTTACACAACTTGCAAAATTTGTACCATTTTGTATTTTACGTGCAGATCTACCAAGTGAATCAATCTCACAACACATAAAATAGGTTAGTTCAAATGATCATTAGTAAATTTGAATCAATTTCCAATATGTGAACGATTGATTTGAATTTCTTTGGATTCTTCTTGATGTTGTATAAGTTGACACGAACAAAAAATTATTCAATATGAAGGTTTAACCAGTTTTTGTAATTCTGGGATAACCATATTTATTGAACTTGGATTAAGAAATAAACTTACACGCTCTATCGAATTGAGTTGAATGCTGAAGGACATTTTATTAAACGAAAGTTTACATTTTAAGAATTTTTTTTATAAAGCAAGAAAAAATAAACATATTAATACTGGGTAAAGTTACTTGTATTGTTCTTTGGAGAAAGAATCTGCTTTATTCCGCGGCAAATTAAATCAATACGGAAAAATTTAGTGAGATCTTCAAAAATACCGCCAAGAAAATTTCATCTTGCTGACGGGTATTAATATTACTTCATTAAAAAAAAAAAAAAAAAAATGACATAAGATATAATCATTAAATAAAATAGTATGATGAAATTTTTTCGTCATTGGTTACAATAAATTTTGCGGATCCTTGTTTGGAATCTTTCATAATTTTGTTATATAAAGTTGATGTTCTAAAATGGGAAAAATATTTTTCGATCAAAGTACTAATTCTAATGGTGAGAATGAATTAGCAAATTGAATTTTTTTTTTAAAAAAAAAAAATATCAATTTAATAATTCACGACTTTTTTTTTATCATTAGGATGACGCAAAAATTGATATTAAAAAAATGATCTCAAGACAAATAAGAAATCAACCATTATCATTATATAGTCGTCAACTTTTCGAGAGAATACGTAAACCATATCAAAGAATTGTTCGAAAAAATCTTTATGATTTAATTGAAAATTTGAATAATTCGACCAATTTGAAAATTCTTAAATCTATGGTGGAAGATCCGAGTGTACACCTTTCGGAGAATGATCTATACGCTTTACTAGAAGAATTAACCTTTATTCAAGAATTTGACGAATTTACGCAAGATAATCTGGAAAAACTCGAAACTCGTGTTAAAACCATTACATCTGTTCTTGAATTCGTCGTTTTTAACATCGAAACGATCCGCTTAGACTTTAATTTCTACAAGGAAATCTCAGATCAATTGAAAGTCTGTGTATCACATTTTAGAAATTATTCATCTATCACTTCCTGGGCAACATCATTAAATCATTATATCCCAAAGGAGGAGACAATTCACAAGTATAACTTTGAATTTCAATTAGAATATATATTTGATATTTTAAAAGTTTTGCAAAAGAATGAGTTGCAATTTCGAAAGGTCAATCTTCGTGTGGATTACTTTATAAAAGATTTGGTGGGATCATTAGGACACTCTGGATTTGATGGATGTATTGGAAGAAATATGCCTCTTTTGTCTCTACCTTTAAAGCAGCGTTGGGAAAGGTTACGTAATACTTGTGACTTTGGAAATTTGGTATCTCCCTTCTTTACAAATTATTACCTTTTAAAGAAGATTAAAATGATTATTAAAACTTGGTCTTATGAGGGTAAAAAAATAATGATTTCAAAATATGGGAAGCGTTTGTTATTAGAGTTCATGTGGATGCACGCCGATAATATTTGGTCTGAAGAAATGAAATGTAATCGAAAGATGAATTCAAGTAATGATGAAATCCTTACACAGTGCCAGTTAAAGAATATTGTATCCTTGTTTGGAGTTTTGGACCTAATGGAAAGTTATATGGTCGAAAGTGAAAGTTTATCAATTTTGGCACTTGTCTATTATTTTGTTAAAGAATCTTTACAAAAAACGACAAGTGCCCCGATACAAATCAAGTCCACCATCATTTTACTTCGATTATATTTTCGTGATGGAAATTTTTCTAAAATTATCGACCAGGATTTTGAAACTTACCTACAAGACCTTTGTAAAGAAAGCACGGTTGCTATGACTCATTTCAAAACATTTCTATTAGCTATAAAATCAAAATTATGTCAAGAGATTTCAATGAATGATACCTTATTTGAAAATTTGGAAACGAACTTTTTATCACCAATACAAAATGGAGGGAAAATATCAAGCACGAATAAAAATATGATCGATTTAATAGCAGATGAAATGATGTGTTCGGTTACTTTAGAACCTGGAGAGAATCTTTGTATTCTTGGGTGTAAGCACATCATCAGTTACGAAACATTCCTCAATATATTAAAAACGTCAAAATATAAATGTCCTCAATGTCGTCAAGATATACTAGGTAACGAATGTATCTTCTTACCGCAAAGCCACATATATTCATATTTTTATGTTCACTTTGCCGCGTCCGGAATAGTTAGTACAACACCGATTCTTACGGCCAAGGCAAATAGGGGAAGTTATTTTTCGACTCCTTTAATCAGATTTGATTCTGCAACGATGTCATCGACCGTTTTTAATCTTGAGGACTTTCGATCGGAGGGGTTACCAAATCATAAATCAAATATTCACAGGGAACCATACCGAATTTGGTGGCCTCTAAAGATGGCAAAGAAATTGCATCCAGCTTATAACGAGGCATTAAAGGCTCTAAATAATAGGCGATATGAAGAAACTGTGTTGTGGCTTACCTGCCTATTGCAACATTATCCAAGTAGTTACTCTGCGAGATGCGATCGTGCGTATATTAATTCCTTGTTACTTGGTCAGCATTTTCGAGCACTTGAAGATTTAAATATTGCTTTATGTATAAAGAAGAAAAGTCCACATGCTTGGTATTTACGTGGAGAAATATTTCGAAGGATTGGCCATTATGAGGATGCACTCGTTGATATAAATAAATCATTACAATTATCATCAGAAAGCGCTATTTCATATGGAATTCGTGGTGCCATACTTTATAAATTGAAAAGATTTAATAAAGCGCTTGAGGATTTAGATTGTTCTTTACAAAAGTTACCTAACAATGGATACTGTCTTAGTTTTCGAGGGGCTACACTAATGAAAATTGGATCGAATAATAAGGCGCTTGTTGATTTTAACAAAGCCTTAGAGATTAATTCTGGTGATGCGTTTGCGCTTGTTAAACGAGCGAGTCTTCATCATACACTTTGTTTGAATGATTCTGCACTTATCGATATCAATAATGCTCTGAGCATTAATCCATGTAATTACAAGGCGCTTTTGATTCGAGGAGAGATATTTGCTGCGATGAAACGAGACTCGGAAGCATTATTAGACATCAATAAATCTTTAGGTATAAACCCAAACAACATTAGAGGATTGAAAATTCTTGCCAGATTATATCATAAAATGAATCGTAATGAAGAGGCTCTTGAGAATCTAGATAAAGTATTGAATCTGAAATCTAATGACGTTTCAATACTTGAATTACGAGGTGAAATTTATCGATCGATGTGCTGTTTTGAAGAAGCGATTGATGTTTTTAATCGAATATTACAACTCGATTCCAATAATATATTTGCTTTATCCTATCGTGGTGCTACAAAATATGATCAGGTATTTTCAAAAAACATCATTTCTTTTTTTTTTGATTACGCGAGTCGGTTTTAACACACTTTATCGTTTAGGAATTATATGAAGAAGCCTTGATGGATGTGAATAAAGCCTTTGAATTACGACGAGAAAACAATTCATTTATATTAAAGACGAGAGCAAGGATCTTTATAGCATTGGAGCGATTTCATGAAGCATTAATGGATCAAAATAAAATATTAGAAAACGATCCCGATAATAGTGTCATCCTTTTAGAACGAAGGGAAGTGTATCATAAATTAGGTGTTTGTGATAAAGCACGCCCGAATTCGACACAACGATGTAGGATAACATTAAAGCCTACTTATACATGCTAATACAATTCTGTCGTTTTATGGCAAATGATATTTAAAAAAAAAATTTAGAATTTAATTTTATAGTTAATAAACTTATTTAGATTTACTATAATTTTTTTTTAATTAAGGATTTAAGGAAAAAAAAATTAGTGATTTTCATCTAATTATCCCTATATTAATAAAAATATATACAGTATATTCATAAGATGTCCAATGTGATTTCATGGGCTTACTAAGATCAAAACAAACTCCCGTTACACAACATGGGGAAAAGTCGAAGTAGATATGGCTAGGTGCTTTTAAGAAATGAATGTTCCAAAAGTAATTTTTATAATGATGATGATGACAATATTGTTCTAGGGCATGTCTTCTTTTCACGGAGTGCATCATTATGTTTAACGAATGTTATTGAGTAATATAAATAGAACAAATCGGAACCCAAAAGTACACGCAATTAATAAATGATGCCAGTTGTTCATCAAACGGACGGAATCCTAAAAAATTAGCTGCGCAACATGTTATAAATTGACTTCGCCCATCGCCAAGGTTTTTCAAAAATCATGAATCCGGACCGAGAGACCTTGGTTTTGACTAATAAGGGTTGTTTAAACTACTACGCCAAGACGGCAAGGCGTCAAATTTGGAAAAATCATTCTAGAAAATAATTTATTAATAGAATTTATAATCATACAGTATATATTATATACAACATTGTACAACGATTTTACTCAATGAAATTCAGATATTTTTGGATCTATAAAGGGTGAGTGATACCATCTTACTCATATAAATACTATAAAGTATTTTTTTTTTAAAAAAAATTCAGCCAAATTTCCCTTTTCTTTCTTTTTTTTTTTTTGACGTTAAAAGAAAAAAAAAATTTTTTTTGTTTTTTTTTTTATTTTATTAGAACGGAACGAATTCTACATGAAAAAAAAATATATATATATATTCCTTTTAATTAATTTATAATAATAATGGCTGACAATATTAGCAAATTCTTAAATGAAACCACAACTATTGAACAAAAAATAACCAATGTTAGATCAAATATTACAAAAATTGAAGAATTTCAATCACAAATTTTAGTTAGTACATCAACGACACAGGAAGATTCTACAAATAAAGAACGTGAGGCATTTGTTGAGAGCACAAGAAATTTACTCATAGAATGTAAAGATCGTATTAAGAAAATCCAATACGACAATGTTCGTATCCCTTCAACGGATCCCAATTATGGTTTAAGGCAACAAAGATATGAATATTTAAGAACAAAATTATCTAATGTACTAGAAGAATATCGTGTTGCCGAAAATAATTTTATGAAACAAACCAAAGATCGTATGGAAAGACAGTATAAAGTTGTAAATCCAAATGCAACTCAACAAGAAATCGATGATTACGTATCAAACCCTAACTCTCAACCGATATTTCAACAAGCTTTATTAAGAACAAATGAGGCACAAAATGCTCTAGCTGAGGTGCGAAAACGCCATGAAGATATTAAAAACATTGAAAGTACCATCTCTGAACTTGTTTCTTTGTTTCAAGAATTACATCTTCAAGTTGAAGAACAAGATCAAACTATTGTTAATATTGAAGATAATACGGAAGTAACTGTTCAGAAAACCGAGCAAGCTGCCAATGAATTGGGTGCTGCAACTAAACTTGCATATGCTGCCAGAAAGAAGAAATGGATTTGTCTTGGTATTGCTATTTTAATAATTATCGTCATTGTCATTGTGGTGATAATTCAATTACCAAAAGGTAGTGGTGGTTCCAGCACAAATGTTGTAACCGCAACAACTACTGTCGCTCCAACCGCCGCTCTCAATAATCCTTCTCCTGTAATAACTCCTCAGCCAACTCCTCAGCCTACCTTATAGATTTTGGAAAAAAAAAAAAAAAAAAAAAAAAAATAGTGCAAAAATTTAATTGTTTCTTTTGATATATAATTCATAATAAATTTTTTTTTTATTCTATTTAGACTTGTCTCGGTTTATTTTAGTAATTTCAGTAATAATTGTTTGATTAAAAGAAATATTATTAATATCTATACATAAGGTATCTAAGTTGGTGGAAACAGTAGTTCTTATGGTTGATATAATAATTTTTCTGAAAGTTGAGGATTTTTGGCTTAACAAAATATTCATTAATCACGAGATTATTTGGTTATACATTAGAAATAAAAATCGTATCAATAAAATCACGTGTAATAATTTTTATTTTAATTCCTAAAACTGTTATAATCATCCTTTATTAACATCGGTATGAAGATGATCAGAATAATTAAAAATTAACGATCTCTTAAAAAGAATTATGTATAAATTAACTAATCGTACATGGGTGTCTGAACACAATGTGACATAAGGTAATGACAAATAATATTTTTAGAAATTTTAGAAATTTAATGTTTTTTTTTTAAAAAAAAAAATTTAAAAATTCTTATAAATATAATAAAGTTAACAAATTGTATTATAAATTGAATTAATTTTCTTGCTAATAGTATTTGTCTTTAAAGAAAACATGATAGACCTATATTATTATTGTAATAATAAATAGCTTTAGTTTAATCATACTTTAGCTAATAAATAAATAAAATAATAAAAGTCAAGTAATATAAGTAATATTTAATTTATAATATAATAAAATCAAATATTTATTTTATATACTTATACAGTGCAGAACCTTTATAATAGGAACTTTGCTATAGTAAAAATGGAACAAATTTAAAATGCAAAAAAAAATTTTATTATATATAAAAATGAAAATTTAATCTATAAAATAAATAAACCATAACCTGTGCTTTAAGAAATTTGGATTAAATTTTAATATCTTCAATATTAATAAAGTTATACTAGATTAAATTTATCCAAAATTAATTATAAAAATTGAAATTGAAAAAAATATATGATATAAAAAAAATTCTTTTATTATTCATATATTTTAACTTAAATATTATTATAAATTAAATTTTATAAAGATATATAGTATACAGTAAAAAAAATACATAGAATATTACAATTACACATAGGTTTGATTATAATAAATTATTCCTAAAGCATTAGATTTAGTTTCTCTAATTACAATTCAAAAATATACAAAAAATCAGTGATATATGAATATTTATAAAAAAGGTATTATTAAAAAAATGGTAAAGTTTGCAGCTAAAAAATATAAGTTTCATTATTATGTATTAATGCAATTTATAATAAAATAATAAAATAAAATAAAATAAATTGTTTTATATGATTTTTAATTCTAGTTTCTGATTGGCTTATATATATTACACACTACTTACATAATTTATACATTTAAAAAAAAAACTTTTTTATAAATTGATTTATTTTTATAAATATAAATCAATTTTTTTTATTTAAAAAAAATCCAATTAGTGAATTAAATTTTATTAATGTTTTTTTAAATTCCTATTATAGAGGTTTTGCATTATATTATTTATTTAAAAATATTTTTAAAAAATAAATTTTATTATTATAAATATTATAAATATATATTATATAGAAATTTAAGTTTAATTTAAAATAATTAAAATACAGTTGATCTTTTGTATATACAAATTCTCAAAACTAAAAAAAAAATGATATAATAATATACTTATAAAAAAATACTAAGTATATTAAAGAGTAATTATTAACTTTAATATTTTAAAAAATATTAAAATTTTATAAAATTAATTTTATATTATAATAATATTAAATAAATTAAATAAATTAAATTATTATATAATTAATTTAAATTTAAAATCTTTATAATAGAAAAGAGTAACTTCTGAGAAAAATAATTCTACTTTTATATAAAATATATTCAAAATTAACATTAACTTATTTTTATTATTTTTAGCTATTTCTTCTTATAAATTATAAGGTTCTATTTTATCTTTTAAATAATAAGAATTTTTATTTAACTTTATTTATAATTTTAATTAAAGATTTTTAATTAAAATATATTATAAATTATAAATAATAAGTTAATTATTTTAAATAAACTCAAATTTTAATAATTATATTATTAAATATATAAATAAATAATATTTAATATTTATAATATATTAGAAAATAAAACCATTTAAGTCTGAAGTGAAATTTTTTATTTAAATTAATAAATAAATAAAATTTTATTTTTATTATTTTATTTTTGTTTTTTTTATTTTTTTGTTTTTATTTTTTTATTTATTGATCTAATCATATATATAATATAGGAGTATTTTTAGAAAAAGCAGGTTCTGAGAAATTTTTGACTAAAATAAAGAGCTTAATATATTTTAATCTAATAACATCAAAAACTAAAATGCAATAAAAATCTCAATTTTGCTAAAATATTTCTGGAACCTGATTTTCCTAGCAATCAACCCATATGACAAACAAAAATATTCATATGATATAAAAATTTTATAATTTCTAAAAGTATAATATCTTATGCTTTACTTTAGATAATAAAAATAGCATTGCAATTAAAAAATAATACAACTTGTAATATAATTAAATTTATTTATAGCATAATTAAATTACAATTTAATTAAAATTTAAAATTAATTATTGCACAGCTTTATAGATTATACTAAGTTTATTAGATCCATATTTTTTATATAAATATTAATAGTTTATTTACATATAATATTAACTATCAATAGTATATCTTTATACAATATTACTATATAATAAAAAATAGTAAAAATTTAAGGATCAGTAATATTAATTTTCAAATTAATCTGTTATAAAACCAACCTCACTATTTATCAAATCAATTAAATTACTAGTATTCATAATACAGAGGGTGATCACGGGTACCCGAATGATAAGTATTTTTTTGTTTATTCGCTTTGTTTACATGTTTACATATAT